GCAATCTTGATGAACAGCACCTCATTTATCACTTAGGTACTTTGCTGTCATCAACATTGAGTTCATCAATGTAACAGCATGAAAACTACTTTCCATTTTGATTACAGCCCCTGTCCTCACAACCGCTACCTTTGCTAGCTCTGCTCTCAACACAGCTAGCCTGTTTTCTCCAATTCAAACCTATCATTAACACCTATCTTATCATTTATCCTGTTTAGAATAGTGATAGGGTGGTGATAGGGTACAACACAATGTAGGGTGTTTTCAGATGGAACTTCTTCACAAGGTCTGTGCAGTGTTGACTCTTAACAATATGGTCATGGATGCAGCAGGCAGGTTAGTGAGGATAAGGTCAAGTATGGTTTGCACTCTTGTTGATTCCCTCACCACTTGCACCACTATAGCAGCAAGGTCCTTATGATTTAACCTGCATGATCAGTAGTGGTGCCTCTGAGCCACCCATGTGATGGACAATGAAGTTCCCTGCCCAGAGTATATACTGTATCCATACCACTGTCAGTGCTTCCAAGTCCTGTTCAACATGAAAGAGTAATGACGCATCAACTGGGGTTGGGGGTTGGGGGTTGGGGCGTGGGGGTGGGCGGGGAGACAGTGGCAGCACAACATAGGGCAATCAGCAGAAGGCTTCCTTGCCTAGGTTTCCTATGTCTGACCTGAGGCAACAAAGCCTTCATGGGCTTCAAAGTCAAAGTTGAGGGCTCTCAGGGCAACAACCTCCCAAGAGCTGTAGGAACAAATTACTGCAGATGCTGGAATCTGTATTGAAACCAACAAATGCTGGAGGTCACAGCAGGTCAGACAGCATCCACACAGAGAAAGAGAGCAAGCTAAAATTTAGGGTCTAGACAACTTTTCATCAGAGCTGAAAGAATTGTGCCCCCACCTCTGCTGAGTTTATTCTGCCAGTGGGACACTAGCAGTAGCCCATACATATTATTAATGAGGACTTTGCAGGGTCAACAGGGTTGAGTTTGCCCTGGTCGTTTTCATTGACTAAGGCAATGTCACTTGGTCCAATCAGTTTCACTCCTTTTTGAGACATTCTAGTGACAGATACAACCGAGTGGCTTGCTAGGTCATTTCAGAGGGCAATTAAGAGTCAAACACTTTGCTATGGGCCTGAAACCACATACAGGCCTGACAGGGATGGCAATTTATCCTTCCTTCAAGGATATTGGTGAAACAGTTTTCTTTTTATAATAATTCACAAAGGTTTCACGGTGATCATTAATTTTAATTCATCTACTGGGGTGGAATTCGAACTCGGGTCCCCAGAATATTTCACATCTCTGAATTACTAATCAAACAACAACAGCAACACACCATCACTTCCCTTGATAAAATATGATGTAGGAGTTATAATATTAAGGGATGTAGGTGCAGAAGGACATTGATGCATATGTGCAAAGATCACTGAAGGTGACAGGACAGGTGGAGACAGCAGTTAGTAAAGCATACAGTATTTTGTTAATGGTGCATAGAGTACAAGAGCAAGGAGATAATGGTGAACTTCTACAAGACGCTTCTTAAGCCTCAGCTGAAGTACCATGTAGAGTTCTGGATGCTACACAATAGAGAGGAGGTGAAGATGTTGCTGAGGGTGCAGAAGATTTATAACATCACAAAGAATGGTAGCAAGTATGAGAATTAAATGTGCTTTAGCACCAGTAAAGGGTCATCACAAAGTTGACAGAAAGAGATAAATAGAGAGTTAACTAAGCAAGAATATGAAAATAGATTTAAGATCTTTTGCAAGTATATAAAAAGTAAGAGTAACTGAAATAAATTTTGGTCTTTTGAGAGCAGAAACAGGAGAAATTATGATGGGGAATGAGGGAATAGCTGAAACTTGGAACAAATATTCTGTGTCTGGCTTCACAGTAGAAGATGCAAGTTGCATACCAGAAATACAGGGCACCCTAGCAGCTGATAAGAGTAAAGCATATTAAGGCATTCAATATCAGCAGAGAAAAAGAGAAAACTCCAATGGAGTGAAATCCAACCAATCCCCGTGATCCACTGGCCTTTCCATTTTTGGGTTCTAAAAGAGACAGCTGCTTACATAGTGATTGTGCTAGTGATGATTCAACAAAAAAATCTAGGCTCAGCAACTGTCCCAGTACACTATAAATTAGCACATGTAGCAATGCTATTCAAGAATAAATTTAGGGAGAAAACAAGGTACTACAGGCAGGTTAGCCTGATATTAGTAAAGGCAGAGGTGCTGTATTTTATTGTTAATAATGCCGAGAAAAGGCACATTTATTCAAAGCTTTCCATCCTGGACTCATCAGAACAATTTGCAATATCTATTAAAGGGAAAACTAACACTTATACTGCATGAAAGAACAATGCTAACTGGTTGGCAAGCGGACCTCATTTTTGCCGACATAACAAACATGTACACGCTGTACTTGTTTTAACTCAACAAAACGGATGACAGCCATTTTCTGGTCCATTTCTCAGGGCAATGCCAATCAGAGTCAACCTGTTTGGTTTAAAAGTTAAAGAAAGCCTGGGAGTTAACTGTCAATTGTCATTAATAATAATTAATGATCGATCAGCATGCTCATGTCCTGTAGCATCAATTATTATCTATTATTAAATAAGAATTAACTATGCACTTAGAAAAACAAAGGATAATTAAAACAAGTCAACACTGGTTTCACAGTAACAGTAACAAAAATATTAGTTTCAGAGGCTGATAAAGAGGAACTAGTAGACCATTGTACTTGGATTTCAAAAAGGTATTTGATAAGGTTCCACACAAAAGAATAATATACAGGATGAGGGATTCTGGAATTGGAGGTGATACATTAACATGAACAGAGGATTACTAAATGAATAGGAAGAAGACAGTAAGGATAAATGTGGCACATTGGTAGGCTGAAACTAGTAATGTGTCATAAGGATCACTGCTGGGGCCTCAACTACTTACAATCATTTAGCGCTTCACAGATAAAAAACACACTATACTTTATATATTACAGTTTCTCATTTATGTATGAAATGGAAGAAATTAAACCTATTTTACTAGCAATAAATCTTTGTTAAGGAGGGGAACCACATTTAGTGATACCTGCAAAAGTCTCTATGAAGGCCTTTACTGTGCTAAAATGGCAAATACAAACTTTTAGTTTGATCTGTTAGTTAGGTCAAGGGAAACATGTAGGATTGGGTAAAAACAAAACTTCTTTCTCATCTGAAAATTGCAAGGTTAAACATCCACTCCACTGAGGAAGGAGGGATCTGAGAACCATAGATGACACTATAAGAATTACTATTCCAATTGTTTCAAAGTGACAATTGTATAAGAATGGAATAGAGGTCAGCACCGGACGTCCTTTTGTGTTGATACAGAATGTCATATTTCTTGATCAAAGATATATTTGAAGGTTGATTTGACCCTATAAAGTTCTGTCTTCTGTGCCTCATTAGGAAAACTGTAACAGTGCTAAATGTAAAACCAAAATATACCAGAACCAGGTACATAAATGTGTACAATATTTGGAGGGAAAAAGAAAGTAATCATATATTTTTCCCAGGTGTTAATCTAACTCATCACCTTTTTGTTCTTTGCTCATGCTTGACACGAATATTCTGCAGCTTCTTTTGAAATTCCTTCATAACTAACCGGAAACTGTCATTTCCAGCCTAGTTCTTGGTTATCATTTCATTGATAGACTTCCCGAAAAGCAGTTTTGGAAGATACCAATGGTCCTACTTTCTCTTTCTCTATCTCCAGCCTTCCTGCATCCTCACATACCACTCTCCTGTCCCCATCCACAAAACACATGTTTCTCTTGGGCACTTAAAGCATAATGGTTCAATTTGACTCATTAGAGTAACAGCCACTACAGCAAGAAACTTAGTTAAACTGCACACTTGAACATTCTGGTGAATGAAAGAGCGAATTCAATAGTTCAATCACAAGCTTTGTGTTTGCGTGTCATAGGATATTCAGAATTCAACATGACACCTGACACGACACATGACAAGTCTGAACTGGAAAAAGTTACCAGCTAAGAGATTAAGCTACTAACTCAGAATATAACAGCTGCAATTGCATAAGACACCCTAAATTCAATGACAATTGCACAGTATTTACAAACTACATACAGAGAAAACAATTGTTAAATGGTGTTATGTTGTCCAATAGAAATTTCTGACTAGCCACAGGAGTGGTCAAGGTAACACTGTTTTATTCATATGTACTAAGTTTAGTTGGAAGAATCTCATATACAAATACATTACAGAGGAACCATCACTATCTCTCAGGGCAATAAAGGATGAGCAGTAAATGCTATATTTACTATCAACGCTCACATCCTGAGAATGAATACAAAAAAGGAAATGTATTTCACGCATATATTTACTCATCTATCATTATTCAAGAACCCAGGAAGTACAGCGCTAACCACAATCAAACAAAAACTCACACTTATATTTGTCTTATTGGTTCTTAAATACACAAAAATACACATACAATGTTATGAGCATTGAAATCATTTGACCAATAACGGCGTCTATTACAATTTTTATTTACTATATGGAATCACTACATCTAGATTCGCAATTAACCAAATGTTGCTGGTGGTCAACATATTGGACAGTGTGATCTAAAACTGTCTATGAAATGAAACCATTTAAACAAAATTCAATCATGTCCTTACAGCATGAAAATAGGTTGTGAAATCTCTGTGGAAACTCAAGTCTCTGTTCACAAATTTTGTTCTGTATTTTCTTCTCTTGATACTTCTAACTAAAGTAGATTAGCTATATCAGCTGTATTAAGAGGCTTGATTAACAAAGTTTTTTTTACAGTGCAAAATTCAATTTTCTGCTCATCACAGCTTATCTGTACAAATTACTTACAGCCAAGTTGCGCCAGTTCCACCAGTTATGTATTGTAAATAGGAGTAGAAATACAACAAGTAGTTTGCGAAGAATTTACTTAAATTCTACGTATGTTCTCCTACCATGGAGGTGGGGTTGTGAAAAATTGTTTTGGTAGAAGTGGTAGTGCCGCTGTTACTGCTGGGTGGATTAATCCGCTTCTCTTTCTGGCGTCTGTTACAGAACCAGACTCGGATCACCTCCTTCTCCATCTGCAGCTGATCGGCGATCATCATGATCTCCTCCGAGGTAGGCTTTTGGTTCTGCATGAACAAAATATATATCTTTTGTTTACAACAGTTGAATACAGATCTCTTTATTATACTCAGCACATTTTATTTTATTCACTCATGGGACATGGGCGTCAATGGCTGAGCCAGCATTTGTTGCCCATCCCTTGTTCTCCTTAAGAAGTTGGTGGTGAGTTGCATTCTTGATCCAACGCAGTCCATGTATTGCAGGCAGACCCACATTTTCATTAAGAAGGAAATTCCAGGATTTTGACTGAAGGAGTGGTGATATATTTCCAAGTCAGGATGGTGAGTGACTTGGCGGGGAATTTACAGGTGGTGTTCCCACTTACCTAGTACCTTTGTTCCTTGCGATTGAAGTGGTCATGGGTTTGGAAGGTGCTGCCGAAGGTTCTTTGGGAAATTTCTGCAGCGCATCTTGTAGTTGGTACACAGTGCAGTTATTGAGCATTGGTGGTGGAGGGAGTGGACATTTATGGATGTGGTGCCAACCCAAGAGGGCTGCTTTGTCCTGAATGGTGTCAAGTTTCGAGTGTTGTTGGAGCTGCACTCATCCAGGGAGTATTTCATCACACTCCTGACTTGTGCGTTGTAGATGGTGGAGAGGCTTTGGGAAACCACTACCTCTTGAAAATGATCAAAATTTGTTAACTACGTTTTTACAATTATAACAAACTAAATATACTAACAGATATCCTTTGGCATTAGTCATTCAGGGTTTTCTCAACTGGAGCATAGTTATGTTGTTTCGTTACTAACACAACCTGTCTCTTTTAATTCAGTGTTTCAACTCTGCAAATTCAAGTGATTAAAACTGTTTGTAAATTGTTCATGTAAATTAGAAGTGACACACAAATACATACATGAACATATGAAACTGAACCATAAGTAGACCATTTGACTCCTTGAACCTGCTCTTTCCTTCAATAAGATCACGGGATGATCTGTTTGTGTTCAAATTCCACCTTCCTATCTACACCTGGTAATCCACAATTTCCCAGCCAAACAACAATTTATTTAGTGTTGCCTTAAAAATATTTAATTACTCCACTTTCATCACTTCTGAGGCAGAGAGTTCGAAAGTCGCATAACCCTATCTGAAAAGGGTGGCCCCTGATCTTAAATAGTGACTCACCTACAAGAGGAAATGTCCTTTCCTTTTCCACCTTGTCAAGCCCATTCAGGATCTTACATACTTAAATTATTCCTTTAAAATAGCAGTGAAAGCAAGCCTAGCCTATTAAAACTATAAAGGCAGCCCATTTGTTGCAGGCATCAATCATGTAAACCTACCATGAACCGCCTCCAATTCATTACACACATGAATATATTTTTGTGTACAGTTTTTTACAGACTAGAGGCTAATCAGGTAATATGAAAATAAAAATACAATTAAGTAATGTTTTTGTTATGCAATGAAAATAGCATGATATCTAACGACCAACTTACTAAAGGAAGATCTCACTATAATGCACCTTTGCAAAAAAGTTTAACTGCTGCATAGAGGTTGAGCCATAAGTGGTTGTATTAGTTAACAGTAACAGAAATCTTTCAGACACTGAAATCCAGGGTTTCCGGGCAAAGGAAGATTTCAACAGAAGACTGACTAGATAGGAATGGTTGGTTCTATACTAAGTTACTATAGTCTACTATGTTAAAATTTGACAGGTTTAATTTGATATGTTTCACATGAATGGCTTCAGGGAGGTTTTAGTTAGGTGAATAGATTGGAGAAGCTGGGGCTGTTCTTGTATGAAACAGAAGGTTAAAAGGAGATGTGATAGAGATATTCAGAATCACAAGGGTTGCAGATAGAGAAAAACTATTTCCATTGGCAGAGGGGCCAAGAACCAGGGGACACAAACCTAAGTTGTTGTCCAAAAAAGCCAAAAGGGATATGATGGGAAAACGTTATGCAACAAGTGGTGACACTCTTGACTGCACTGCTTGAAAGGTGGTGGAGGGAGATTCAATTGTGGTTTTCAAAACTGAGCTGGATGAACACATGAAGATGTCAAAGTTGATAAAATTAGCTGGACGTGGCATTTAGAAATAAGGCATTAAAACATAAGCAGCAGAAAGAGACAATTCAGCCTCTTGAGCCTGCTCAGCCATTTATTGCGATCATGGCTGATCTCATCTCAGCTTCAACTCCACTTTTCTGTGCACTCTCTGTACCCTTCAACCCATTAGTCATTAAAAATCTATTACCTCCTTAAATTTACTTAATGTCTTGGCATCAGTCACACTCTAGGGTAGTGAACTCCACTGATTCATGATACTTTAAGGAAATTAATTTCTCATCTCTGTTTTAAATCTGCTACCCCTTATCCTAAAACTATGACCTCTCATTTTAGACTGCCCCACAAGTGGAAACACCCTCTTTACTGTGTCAATCCCTTTAGCATTTTATATACATTAATTAGATAATCGCATCATTAACTAGGGATCAACAATGGGATAATGCTAGATAATGCATATCATCTTCACTTTAAACTGAGAGATCTCACTGCCAAATTTGGGAAACAAGACTAATTATTTTATTTATATACCAAGTTGAACACAACAGATTGCTGCATTGTGGTTAACACAAGTCAAGTACTTCGAAATCAGAATTAATATATCACAAAATGCTGGCTGTGTATTACTATGCATCTCATTGCTGGTTACTGACCTCCAGGAAACTCTTTTCTAAGGCCACTCGAACATTGGTCTCTATGCTGGTGCGTTTCTTTCTCCTGCGGCTCAGCCCTTCGATTCCCAGACCTGGAGAAGTCAAGGAGCTGGGATTTGACAGTGCAGAGTCTACTGACAAATTTTCTGTTCAAAGCAAAAATGAAATTGGAAGAAAATTAAGAGGAAAATAACGTCAGCCTACTGGTTTTATTTATTTTTGCTGTCAATAGAAAATATAATTTTAAACGTTCAGATTTAGTGTTTATATTTATAGACTTTCATATAATCAATGTGCCAGACATAGGTATCCTTAAATAAATCAGAATTGCTGCAATGTTCCACTAGAGTTCAACTTCCTTAAAAGCCAATTAAAAATATTGTTCATTTAGGCTTATTGCATGAGTAACCAATTTGAGCAAATTTGGGTACAGGGTCTGTGGTCAGCATTTGATTAATGCAGCGATAATACGATATGCTGTGAGGAGTCCTACATCTAATAAGGTACCCTATCATCTATGGTATACTGCATTGAAACAATGTTACAATTACAATTTTGAAGCTGACAGTAAATGTTTTAAAATAAACTTGACTCAATGTCAACGACGTGTATTGTCTTTAAATACAAACAAAGTCACCTCGGTTTTCATTAACAGGTTTCCTGAATTAAAGGAAAGAACTGCAGCTAATCTTTATATAGTTTTGTTAAGTATTTATTCACAGTAAAAGACATAAAATAAATTTAAAATTGTGGGGAACCAAAGATATAATGAGTGAATAATTTAAAGTAGTTTTGGAGAAATTAATGGGACTAAAAGCCAACAGTTCACCTGGACATCATTTTTATATCCTAGAGCTTTAAAAGAGATGGCTTCAGAGATGGTTGTTATGTTGTGATCTTCCTAAATTCTAGAATTGTCCCTATGAATAAAGGTAGCACTGTTTTTTAGAAAAAACAAAGAGGAAACAGGGTATTAAACACCAGTTATTTTGACATCAGTAGCAGGGAAAGTTCTGGGAAACTGAAGATATAATAGGGCAATAGGAAAATCAAAAAATGATTAGCTAAAACCATCATGCTGTAATGAAATGGAAATCACATTTGTCAAATCTACTAAAATTTTCTAAGGAAGCTGCTTTTTTTCTTAGCTCCATTAGTGATGATGCTCAAAACAGCCATGTCAATATATTAGGTAATATACTGGAAATTCCAGGTACAAAAAGTAGTCCAAGTCATGCACATCAGGTTCGATTTGGTCCTTTATCATGCACTGCATCTGAAAATTAACTGTTCAGAAGCTGAGTAGCCCATTTGTTCTTATCAGTTTATCTGTTGTCCATTTATTAGCTACATGCATGATCCACAGGCTCCATGAAAGGAACTTTAAGACTTCTGTTTTGCTTCACTGATTTCTAATGCTTAAAGAAAAAGGCATAGAGTAAAACAAACAGTGTAGACGAGATGGTTCCATTGAAGTAAAAATGATGATCTGTGGATGCTGGAAATCAGAAACAAAAACAGACAGTGCTGGAGAAATTTAGGAAGGTCTGGCAGTATCTGTAGAGAGAAACACAGTTAATGTTTCAAGTCCAGTAACCCTTTGTCAGAATAGTTGAAATGTTAATTCTGTTTTTCCCTCTACAGATATTGCCAGATCTGCCGAGTTTCTTCAGCACTTTGAGATTCAATGAAACCCTGAAACAAAAACAATGGACCCTTTACGTTTAGGATTTAGACACTGATATTTTGTGTACACTTGGTCCAGAATTTTGCGACTGCAGTCCATACTAATACAGACTAAGAGACTTCCATGGAAGATCTCTGATGTGGTCTATGAAATTTGAAAGGAAGTCTCTAATTAAGTTGAGGAGCATTGAAGTCAGTACATTAACACTTTAAATGAGGCATGTTAGCTGTATCTTTGCAACTTTGGTCTTTACACACTTGTTAACATCTTTCCTTATTCATATCGTAGACAGGAATGCTTAAAATCAGATTTATCCATATAGGTTGCAAAGAATGAATCAATCCCAACACAGACAATTATGGCTCTTTGTGATTTCACCGTCACTGACGCTCTTTTCATTTGATGCCAAATTGGTTATCTACTGTGCTCTGCAGTACTAGGAAGCCTGCCAAATTCACTGTTTGCTAATCCTCCCCAGTGGGATTCTGGGCACGCCTCAGATGAAAAAGCGCTCAAGTGAAGATTGAGAACTAATACTGTTATGCTGAGGTAGTGTGGCTGAGCGGTCTAAAGTGCTGGTTTAAGGCTCCAGCCTCTTCGGAGTTGTGGGTTCAATTCCCAAGGGGCCCTCATGGTGCAGTCGCAACCCCTGGAACCCCAGGCAACCCCTGGGCTGAGAGGCTGGGTTCAAGTTCCAACTGCTCCAGAGGTGTGTAATTACATCTCTGAACAGGTTGATTAAAAAAGTATGTTTAAAATGAACAGTCATGCTTTCATGATTTATGATGACCCCAATATCCCACAAGAATATTCACACTTTGTAGATTTTACTCTCACAGAAGTAGTGAAAACAAAAAGATACCCTGATCACAACTGGTAGCAGAATTGTTGCAGTAATACTATTCTGGGGAGTGAAGGACAACCATATAGCAGTGTCACTGAAATAATCTCCCCTGTTTGGAGTTCCACATTACATATCATGTAGTTATTTATGATTGTTCTTTGACAGAATCATACACAATATACTCCCTCATCACTTAAAATGGTATAATGTTGATATATGCCAGCAATCCTTTTTGCCAAAAACATTTCCATGGCTACATTAGTTGTGGGTGTTAATGGCTGGCATTTACTATCCATATCAATTGCTCTGGTGAAGTTGATAGTGGGTTGCCTTCTCAAACTACTGCAGTCCTTGGGGCATAAGAATCCCCGTGGTGCAGCTAGGAAGGGAGTTGTGATCCAGTGACAATGAGGAACTGCAACATAGCTCCAAGTTAGAATTGTGTACGATTTAGAGGCAAATTTGAAGGTTGTGAATTTCCCATACATCTGTTGCCCTTTTCCTTCTAGGTGGTAGATGTCACCGGTTTGGAAGGTATTGGTTAAAGAGCCGATTGCAGTGCATCTTGTAGATGGCACACTGCTGCTACTGTGTGTCAATGGTGGAGGGAGAGAACGTTGAAGGTGATGGATGGGGCGTCACCAAGAAGACAGCTTCGCCCTGAAGGGTGTTGAGTTTCTTCAGAGCTGTTTGAACTGAATCAATCCAGGCGAGTGGATAGCATTCCTTTGCAGTCCCTAAATTGAACCTTCTAGATGGTGGACGAGCAGTGGGAGGCAGGAGGTGAGTTACTCACCACAGAATTCCTAGCCTTTGACCTGCTGTTGCAGCCACAATATCTATATGGCCAGTCCCATTCACTTCCTGTTCAATGGTAAGTAAGCTCCAAGATGTTGATACTGGGGGAATCAGTAATGGCAATGCCCTTGAATTTTGATAGTTAGAATCATCTCTTGTTGGATATGGGCAATGACCATAATCACCAGTTCCCAGGCAAAGGCCCCATTTCATAATAATTCTGAATGTGATAGCCCAAAAAGGGTTATTTTCTAGTTGGTGGCAACAAAACGTTAATTTAAAAGGTTCCATTTCCTCTGGTAGACCCTTTCCCAAAACAAATTTATTTGTGGTTTAATGCAGTCAAATTAACCATGGTTTCTTGATTTAAAAGGTGAATTTATTAGCTGCTAAACACAAGAAAAGATGATAAGCATGAGAAACATACACATGGATCAGAAATGTGAATTCGTATAGACAGTTAGAAAAAATCCAGTCTGGGATTCATTAGAGTAGATGATGGAATATCCTTGCTATTAGGTTGGATGATACTGGTAACACTGATGTTGGTAGTAAAGTGTTTATTTCAAGACTACTGACTCTGTACATTGTTCAGCAGTTTTTGTCTTTGTTCCTTTTAGACGATGACTTCACTGGCACCCTGGCCTCCAGCACTCAGAATGAAAGGGCGTTTTCCTTCATTTGCAATGCACAAATATCTAATGGCTGTCCTCAAACTGCAATCTCCACAGCAAACGAGGCCTTATCAGCATATCAGCGTGCTAATATACTGAGACTAATGCTGCAGGCATATCTAACCCATGTTTTTTTGTGTTTCCAAGAGGGTAAACTACATGTCTTTCCACTAGTAATGCATAGGAAATAGGTTTCAGGTTGACAGGGGTAAACAGATTATGGCTGCATTTTCTTTTTTGCATTTGCTTGAAATTACATGGACAGTCTGCATGTGTGACATTCCATGTGCTCACACAGAGACTTTCAGCAGTCTGTGAATTCCATTCTCAGGATTTACAAATTCAGCGATTGTTGGCTTGTAGTTCGCTTTATTTTTAAAAAAATCAACGCCTTGTTTAAAAGTTCAATATATTCATAAATACTTTGAGGTTATAATCCATTGTCATGATGCCTGATACTTCTGCAGTATGAATATGTTTTTGCCAATGATCAGTCCAAGCTTCGATATTGTCCAGGTCTTATGCATATGGGCAATGATTTCACTATCCGAGCAGTTGTGAATGATGCTGAACAATGCATAATCAGCAGCAAACATTCCCATTTCTGATCTTATAATAGAGGAAAATTCATTGATGAAGCAGCCAAGATAGCTGTATCTAGGACATTACCCTAAGGAACTCCTGCAAGATGTTCTGGGGCTGGGATGATTGACCTTTAACAATTACAACCCTTCTCTTTTATGCTAGTTATGACTCCAAACAGGAGAGGACCCAAACCTCTGATTTCAATGGGCTCTTGATGCCACACTCACCAATGCTACCTCTTTACCTTAGCTTTTGAGGTCAGCGCTTTCATCCTTGTTTGGACTAAGGTTGTAATGAGATCTGGAGCTGGGTAGCCCTTATGGAACTCAAACTGATCATCAATAAACAGTTAGTAGGAACTGCAGATGCTGGAGAATCTGAGATAACCAGGTGTAGAGCTGGATGAACACAGCAGGCCAAGCAGCAACAGAGGAGCAGGAAAGCTGACGTTTTGGGTCTAGACCCTTCTTCAGAAATGAAGACCCAA